AAAAAAAAGATTTTCACAAATAAGACATGAGTGAAAAAAAAAATACAAAAAAATTAAAGTAATGCTCACAATGGGAAGTTATATAAATGGACTGCGTTTCTTTTGCAATCCACTTTACAACCACTTCTGTCATCAAATGTACGTGAAGTCCTCTTCTTCCTCATCCGAAATATCACACTCTGTAGAAATGGAAAACATTTTATCGTCATACCTGTTTTCCTCGCGAGTGTCTAAGTCCACTTTTCGCTTCAACGAAGAATTCATTAACGAAGTTTCCAACCTAATTAATTTCGATCTTACATAATTGACAAAAAAATCAAAGGCGACTCTTCCGTAGGAGTAGGTCTGTTTGGCCAAATAAAGCTTCAATGGCAAAGTCGTATGATATACGTTACACCAGACGTTGTATACAAGGGGGTACCAAATAATTTCGCTACCCAATAAGTGAAGAACCCCTTGGTAAAATACATCAGTCAGAAGGTAGCCGCAAGATGTTAAACAAAAAAAAGACAATGTATTGAGAAGATAAGGATGGTCAATAAATCTGCTAACCAACAAGGTCATGCAATTGCTATTTCGATATATATGATCAAAAGTTATTTTATGTTTTTTAAAATAAATGTTTTTTAGTATCTCTTCATTATTCCTTCTGATATCATTTAAAGCATTGATTGAAATTAAAAAATTTTTTTTTTTGTCATCTACCTTTTCTGGCTTTAACATCACTGTTCCTTCCGGCACATCCACATAGACGAAGCATTTTAGGGGGTTATTTTTGTTATTCAAATAGTAATTCCACTTCACACAGTTGTTCGTCTTTCCGTTAAAGCTACTGCTCGCTCTTGCATTTTCCTCCTTTTTCTCTTTTTCCCATCCGCTTTGTATTTTCATAAGTTCGCTCGTTAAATGTATTAGCTGTCGGGTGATGTATCGCTCGATTTGGGCTGGGCCGGAGCAGCTCCCTCCCTTGCGCTTAGCCTCCACTCGTACTGCCCTTTGGCTGCCACTGCTTCGCATGCTGTGATCCATGCGGGTATACGTAGTACTGTTCACATTACTCTGTACATTATTCATCACATTACTCCCCACCCTACTGTCTGCCTTGTCGCCCCCATCGCGCGACAGGAACGTGTAGCACCTGACGGCCCTCTGCACCTCGTACGGGGGGTATAGCAGCTCGTTGAGCGTGTCGCCCAGCCCCGGTCTCCACCTTCTCTGACCCCCTATCAACATACCATGGCCATGCTCACCAGGCAGAATTTCCCCCAAAAGGCAATTTAACCAACGCTTAACATTGTGTAACCCTTTGAAATGAGAGTCATTTTCTTTCTCCTTTTTTAGAAAGAACAGCCTATGAGTGGAGTGATCCCTTATCCGATCACCATGGGATAAGTAACGCCTATTCCAACCATGATGCGCAGATGCAATCACCTTGTTGTAGTGCGCACCTCTGCGGGGTGTTACTATTTTGGATGTGTGGGTTGAAATAATGAGAAGAATTAAGGCCAGCAGGAGGGTACAACAATGGGGAAGTGTAACCATAGCAACCTTTCTTCAGTTTAGTGTAAGTTTGTTTTGTTCTCCCATTTAGGCCGTTTCATTTGGGGGCCGGGCAAGTGGACGCGCAAGTCGGTATGGCGACACATCCGCATATGTGCGCATGTGTATGGCTCTTCAAAATTTGTTGTGTTAACAAGAGGGGCTATGGAAAAGCCACGAACTAGCATACTTTCGCATGGGAAGCACTCTCCTTAATTTTGTTTAGGCTGTTTAAACACCAATTCGCAGAACGAGTTATGCATATCCCCGTGTGCTGCTTGTTTTTCAAAGGGGGGTGATCAAAAAATTTTCGCATTTTTTTTGCGAATTTTTAGGCACTTGTTTGCTCATTTTTAGGAAATTTTTTTTGTGCGTTTTACGCACTTTGTTTGTGTGTCTCTTTTTTATTTTTTTCTCCAGCTATTCCTACCCATTTGGCTTAAAAGCCTCGCAACACATTTCCCGCGCAGCGTTGCTCAAATTTGGGAAACCAAGCGTGGCGCCACCTGTAGGGTGATCAAAAGGGAGACAAAAAAAAAAGTCAAGCCCCCCAGGGCTATGCAACATGTGATTATTGCGGAGGTTTCGTTTAACTAACAAGTGGGGGAAAAAAAACAAAAAAAAAAAAAAAAAAACGGAAAATTAAACAAATGGTAGGGTCACTTGGGGATACATTCCGCAAAATGGTTATCATGCCGAAGTCTTCCTCCTTGCTGCGCTGAAGCAGTTCTCCACGGTCCAAAGGCGTTTAGGCGTGGGGCGCCCGTAGACCCCCCAGACAATGCCTTGTTAAAGCAGCGAGCGGCGGAACATATACTTAACATATCATTACATTATATATAGCCCTCGCGGTAGGCAAGGAAGCGAAACTGCCGAGTGCATACATCATTAATATATATGTAACATATGTATAATACTATGCATATGAATAGGTCAAGGGGGGAATATGCGCTGCGTCGAAGGATTACATAAAACCCGGTGACATATACGAAAAGCGCACCCCGTTTGGTTTGCCAAGGCAGCCCTCATTTTTTCCACTCGGATTTGTATGCACTACAAGGAAGAAGTTTAATTAAAGGGGGTAATTCAATTCTGGTGGATCCTCATGTATACACTTACTTTCTTGCGGCGTCGCCTTGCAAGAACCAACCATATTTTTTGTATTATGCCCCCAATACGCTGCTCATCACTTTACCCCTCTACCCACTGCGGAAGGCCCACATTACATATGCATACGTGGTACGTGCAATGGTATATAAGCGCATCATAATTTTTAAACCCCCGTCGAGCTGCGGAAAAAACAATGATGAGGATCCTAAAAAGGGGCCAATATATAGATAACATACGCGTTGCATATGTTAGTAAAATAGGTACATGAATAAAAAAAAAAAAAAAAAAAAAAAAAAAAGAGGAACACTTAGAGGTGACGGAAAAAATTATCACAAAGTTGAGAAGATATAATTTTTAAAAAATAAAATAAAAAAAAACAAAAAAAAGCAATCCTTTAAAAGCAACGAAAGAGGAATAACACCAAAATTGCAAAGCGGCAAAATTTTGCAAAGTGACAGTTGCAAGCGCTTGACTCCCATCCCTTTTGCGAACCAAAACATAAAAACATAGAAGAGGAAAATGCCGAAGAGTTACAGGAATTACTCCAAAACGGCTAGGAACCCAAAGCGTCCCTTTGAAAAGGTAAAAATAGCGCCTGCATAATTTTGGGTTATGCGCGGCCTGCCATGTATCTTGCGCGAGCATCGGGGAGTACACCCCCGAGGGGGGGACGGAGGATGTTCCCGCATTCGCAGTCGCGGATACTCCAAAAAGAGGGAGAACGCGGAACAGGAGCAGGAGATCTACGTGTCATGAAAATGTAGTTGTATTCATGGGCATTTATGTACATACTCATTTGCATACATGCGCATTTGCTTTTATATGCCTATTTGCGCGCGCTTCTTTTCACCCGAAATTGCAACTAACACCGGCACGCCCACTTCCGCACAACCACAGGAACGTTTAGATCAAGAGTTGAAGCTAATCGGTGAATATGGACTTAAGAACAAGAGAGAAATATGGAGGTAAGTTTCCCCGCTCGTGGCGCTTTTTTGGGTGCCCCTATGACACGGGAAAAAAGTGTGACAAGGGACCGACCCGACTATCAAACAGATCATGAAAAGAAGACGTTTGAATGTGCAGGGGAGTTCCCCTCGCGTGTGTTTCCCTATCTGATAGCACAGCATCACTTCCATTTGCTGTAACGTTTTTCATCCTTCTGTTTCCCCACCCCCTTTCACCCGTGCAGAGTTCAATACCTGTTAGCCAAAATCCGATCAGCTGCTAGGTACCTGTTAACCCTAGACGAAAAAAGCTCCAAGAGAATATTTCAAGGAGAGGCCCTACTAAGACGAATGGTGCGTCAAGGATTACTAGGAGAAAATGAAGAAAAGCTGGATTATGTGTTAGGGTTGACTTTACCAAAATTGTTGGAACGAAGATTGCAGACAAAGGTTTTTAAATTAGGGTTAGCCAAGTCAGTACATCATGCAAGAGTACTAATACGACAGAGACATATCCGAGTGGGCAAACAGATGGTAGATATTCCTTCGTTCTTAGTTCGTGTCGACTCTGAAAAGCACATTGATTTCTCCACAACGTCTCCCTTTGGAGGTTCCAGACCAGGAAGGGTCAAGAGAAAGACTTTGAAAAACCAAAAGGAGAAAAATGAGGAGGAAAATAACTGATCGTAATAAGGGACACCTTGTTCCATACCAGCGATCATTACGCCTGTGCCGGTGAATATGCAAGAAGGAGGAACAGCCCATTGGCAGTAACGAGAACGCACCCCTGTTTTTTTTATTTTATCCTATTATTATTATGCTAACCATATAGTGTGAACAAATTAGCAAGTGTGCATATATAGTGGACAAAAATAACCTTTTTTTTTTTTTTTTTTTTTTTTTTCCAAATGTTAAATTCCTGCTGTATCGAATTGTAAAGAAAAAATCGCAATTAACTAATGTCCCAACTGCTTTTTTTTTTTTTTTATTCTTTAAAAGATAGCGCCAAAAAACAAAAAAAAAACAACAAAAAAGAATTCCCACGGGTTGGTAAATTTCCTATGTAGGTAGTCACCCCAAATTCGTTTACCTTGCCAGCAGAAGACAAAAATGGGGCGGGGGACGTGGCAATATGGTACGTCGCTATGTATATTGGGGAAATCTCATATCGCGAAGGAGGAACAAAGTGGCTCTTGTCTGAGGGTCTGTTTTGTGTGCCTCCTGAGGTTGACCAGCCAACAGAGAAAAGGACCCTCTTCCCTCCACGCTGTTTCCCTCTGTGTAGGTCACTTTTTTCCCTTTTCGTTCCTCCAAAGGTGTGGTATACCATCTTCACCCGTTCACCGCACAACCGCTTTGCAAGTTCCGTTGCAAGGAACATTTCCACCAGCAGAGTAGAGAGCTACCTTTCACATTTTGTGAAGTTGATGGCAATACGTGGTCAATGCGTCACGCCCCTTCATTTTTGTAAATCCTTATATTTTCCGCTATCCCTTTTTTAATTTTACTTTGAGACTTCCTTTTAAACCGACCAGTTGAGCTGAACACCCATTTCCTATTTTACCATGTTGTAATTT